GGAACCGAGCAGTATCAAGAGTGTTTTCGGAGTAACCGGGGATTCGCTTACGCCATTGGGGAAAGTCAACGCAATAATTGAAATGGATGATATGAGATTCGAGGGAATCGAACTGATCGTGTTGCCGAGTGGTCATCTATGCGAGAGAACGTTGATGCTAGGGAAGGATGTGATGAAAAACGGGGTGACGATTGTATTCGATGGGGAACCATGGATTCTCAAAAGGGGAATATTCCCGAAAATTCAACATTTGTTACCGGAGAGAAGATCGAGAGTCATGTTGAAAACAAAAGCGAATGAGACGCTAGAATCGCGGTCAGTGAGCTTTCTCAAAACTCAGCCGGTGGGGAGATTAGGGAGCGTCATACGTTTCAATCACGGAACAGTAGAAACGATTCACGAGATTCGGAACGATGAAATCACGATCCCCGTGATGAACCAAGGTAGTAAGAGATAGAAGTAAACAAAGGAACAGTAGTCGCGAGAGCCGAGCTAATAGATCTGGAAAAGGAAGAATATTTTCACCTATCGAGAGTCTTGGTGACACGAGCTTCGGAGAAAGAGGAGAAGGTAGAGGATATCGAGATGAAAGATCTGATCATCAACGAGGAGGCATTTTTGAAGCTCAAAGGAAAATTACTGGAGGATCCGATATTAGAGAGGTTCGAGCCGGATAGAGAAACGGAATTGCATACGGATGCGAGTTTGGTTGGACTAGGAGCGATGCTGATGCAAATAGTCGAGGGAAAGCCGAGGTTAATCTACGCAATTAGCCGAAAGTTATGTGAATCCGAGAGACGATATCACTCGACTAAATTAGAACAGTTGGCAGTAGTGTGGGCATTGGATAGATTCAGGCACTATCTGCACGGAATAAAATTCGTCGTATATTCTGACTGTAACGCGATTCTAGCGCTAAAATCTCAGTCCGGGTCGGCTCAGCTGAGTCGTTGGTGGGATCGAATCGCGGAGTTCGATTTCGAGATCAAGTTTCGAGCAGGCGCCAAAATGACACATGTAGACGCGTTGAGCAGAGGACCGACCGATGAGGCGGAAGAGGAAGAGTTCGGTGAAACAATAATGGATTCGGAGAAAGCACGAGTTTTGATTTGTGCGATTAATTATAACGAGGCAGCTACGATTCAGGCTATCGATGAGGATATAAAGGAAATTAAAGTGGCGTTGATGAAGCCGCCGGAGAAGAGAACGAAACGAGAAGAAATGATCAGTACCGGGTTTGTTCTCCAGCAGGGACTGGTGATGAAGGTTATCGAGAAACGAGATGGCGAAGACCAGAGCGCGACGAGAAAATGGACCGCGTTCGTTGTTCCGAGAATACTGAGGAAATATATACTGGTGTCTTGTCATGATCGAGCTGGGCATTTCGGATTCAGGAAAACATGGGAGGCTATGCGAAGATATTATTGGTTCAGAGGGATGCGAGATTACACGAAATATCATCTAAAAGTCTGTTTGAATTGTATGTACAACAAGAATTTATCGGGGAAGAAGGAAGGATTATGCCATCCGATTCGTCCTGAGAGACGACCATTCCAGAAGGTATTCATGGACCATATCGGGCCATTGCCGGTGTCGAGTGGGAAACAGCATATTATAGTGCTGATCGATGGGTTAACGAAATTCGTCGTATTGGAGGCGGTCAAATCGACTGAGACGAAATATGTCGTTAAGTTTCTCGAGAGAACATTTTTGAACTACGGACGACCGGAACGAGTAGTATCGGATCGAGGAACCGCGTTCACCTCCAAAACGTTTGGAAACTTCTTGCGAAGTATGGGGATCGAGCATACCTTGATAAGCACACAATATGCTCAGAGTAATGGGTTGGTCGAGCGAGCAAATAAGGAAGTTTCGCGATTGATGAGGGCGTTGAGCGAGAAGGAAGATGAATCTGACTGGGCAGGGAAAATTCCCATGGCACAAGCGATGCTCAATCGTTCGGTGGCGCGAGGAACGGGGAGAGCACCGTTCGAGTCATTACATGGATATTTGCCGAGAATTGACGAGTTCTCACAGATAGTCGAGGGATTACAAGACAAGATTTGGATACCTGCGGAGGAAATTCAGGAAGAAATACGGAAGGAAATCGAGTGCACGCAAAAGGAATACGCGAGAAACTATGATCGGAAACGGAAACCGCATCGAGTTAGATACCAAGTCGGAGACATTGTATTAGTAGCGAGATTGCCGAAACAAACGGGACAGCCAACCAAATTGCAGCCTAAGTTTCGAGGTCCGTTGGTAACTACGGAAGTTCTGCCAAAAGACTCCTATCGATTAGTCCAGCTGGGAAAAGAGAATAGCTACACGTGTACCGCTCATTGCTCTCAGCTGCGATGGTATAATGTCCGGGGTCTCGAGGAGGAAGACTTTGTTCCATTGACTGACGATTCCTTTGAGCTTACAGGAAATAACGAAAAAGATCCGAGTACTTCAGAAAAAGAACTGCCAGTCTATGGAGGGGATGTGACGATGCATACGGTCTTGGAAGATGATGACATCGAGGAAATGTCGTCGATGTTGGAGGGATTCGGTCGAGATGAGCCAAAGAAAATAATGAAACCCGATCGCACAAGCAATGTCGACTTGAATTCGGCGATACTCGAGTCGCCGCCGAGAGAATCGGAAGAGGAAGAAAGTGTCGAGATGACAAAGGAGAAGGAACCCAGTACGGGCGGCAAAATTCGAAGGCCTATACGGAAAGTAAAATTAAAGGATAATTAATGTATGGTTTCGAAAAAAAAATAGTAGCGAAGAGGTGGAAGCAATGATTAGGGCGTAGATATATGAGTACACATAGGTAAAAGGGTTGTGAGATGGCATACTGAGGACAGTATGGTAGGTAGCGTGGACGAGATGTCGCTAGAGGGCGGGTGACGAGAGAAGAGAACGAGAATCCCGATTCAGAAGCGAGGGATCGCATTCGTGTTCGCGCTACGACGGAAGAAGGATTCGAGAACGAAAGCGCAACAAGTGAAGAATTCAAGAACCGAGACGAGTCACCATGAACAACAAGGACAGCAAGAAGAGAACGAGAAAGCTCAGGCCAGACATCCAATCGAGGTTCATCAGGCCGGGGGACGTGGTGATCCCAGGAGCGTGGTTAAACGAGTTACTCAACAGTCAATTCGACACGGCGCTGGTAGCCGAGCGAATTCGTCGATACCTGTTCGACACAGCACAAGATCAGGCCGGATTCGAGAGGGAAACTAAAGCGAGGAACCCCAAGCGTGTGAGTTTCCACGAACAGCGAAGGCGATTCGAGTACTTTCCCGACGACGAGACGGAAGAAGTTCCCTTCGTGGAAGTCGAGCCGACCGAGCCGGCAGTCAGGCCCAAGGGGCTGACACTTTCGCAGCCGCTCTACGAGGTATGGCCAGAAGAATCGAGGGATAAACGAGTCAAAGCACTGGTGGACTTCGAGGAGGAGTACGGATGCGAGGTCGGACTCGGGGGTCTCGAGGACGAATTCGCGGACATCCGAGTCGACCTACCGTTAGACCTGCGTATCGAGAGGAGGCCGAGCGAGAACTCCGAGGAGAATAAGTCGGATGAGGCTTGCGGAGGAGTCGAGAAAATCGTTGACGAAAAGGAAAGCGTCAAGGTTCACGAGAAGATCGATCCGCGAGTACAGCGATTCCGGGATACGAGAAAGCGGATCGAGTCGCAGCGGTGCACCAGTTGCTGGTCGCCAGATCACCGCGCCGGCGAGGTTTTTTGTCGGGCGACGAGAGAGACCTGCTACTATTGTAGACAGGTCGGGCATTTCTCAAGGACGTGCGCGCAGAAAGAGCGCGACGTATGCTACAGGTGTAACGAGTACGGTCATCTCAAAAGAGAATGTGACCAATGGCACGAGCTTATTAAGCACCTCAATTGAGAATCCGGGAAATAAAGGTGATGCGAGTAGAAGTTCCTATGTGCGTGTACTCATTAGGTTGATAGAACTTAGAGGGGCGAGAGGAAATGAGGACATTTAGTGAGGTAGCCATGGCCGACTGTGGGGAACGAGTAGGGCACATGTTACACAGTCAGTACACAGACGTGCATGTACAGGCACGTCGAACAGAGAGTCGATGCTGGTCCGGCAGAGATAGCGTCTGAGGCTCGAGAATAAACTAACTTTACCAGCTAGTACGCCCAGTTCCCACGTTACGTCCCTACAGTTGGTTCTCAACTGATGCTGAACGTCCGCCGCTGCACGTTGCACGTCGGGGCTGCCCCGCGCCTCGGCGAACCTGACCATTCCACGACGACTCTCGGCTCTCTCTTTATTGAAGCATACCTAGATATGCGTCACACTCCCGGCCGAATTCTCGAAATGACACTCCGGATGCCTTACAGTCGAGATCTCTTCCGCTTCATTCGGAGGGTGCGACGCAGAATTTTGAGATTCGAGAATTCCGGTCAACTCTGTTTCCGGGAGAAATTGACTGGATCTCTACCTACGGAAATGACATTCGAATCCTAACTGGCTAACTAGTAGTGCGAAATGTGCAGAGGAGACATTCGAGTCGAGTCGCCGGGTCTGGAACCGGGTCACTGGATGTACTCTACGAAATTCTACACGTTCCGGAGAGCGTTTGACGGGTTATTCTCTCCCGAATCGAACTTGAATTCGGACCTCTCGGAAAATTTTCGTCCACTCGTGCCTCGTCTCCCCATCGATCGCCTCGTTCCCCCAACCTACCACCACGTCGTCAAGCTTCCAAGTCAGCCCCCTCGGCATCTTCGTAAGCTCAGTGCTACACACTCAGAAGCTCCCTATTTGCCGCTACGCGGATCTACGAAGTACCGCTCGTGAGATTTGGGATCTCATCGGGTATGACGATCGCCGGCCGTTCTGCTTCGCCTCCCGGATCGCCCGTTCCCGCGGGACCCGCCAACCCCCACCAGTGCCCGTGAGTGAATATCTCATCCAGATGTTTGTGATACGCCTGCTCCCCTCTCCCGCACTGACCGTGGATGAAGGACTTTTTTTGTTTTTTTTTATGGAGGTTAGGGAGAAATGCGTTTACGCACGCACGGGCCGAGGTGATGTCAACGCTCTCGGGGACCGGCAGTGTAGGACTCGCACCTTGCGGTGAATACCCACTAAAAACCCTTATCCTCTGTAACCCTTCTGGGGGAAGGGCGGAAAGGAGCTGGGACCGGCCTGGTGGCCATTACTTCAGCTCCCCCCCTATTGATGCTGACGTCCCTGTTTCTTCACGCACAAAACAGTGAAAAACGCGATTGTTCAGTTTGCTGAGGGCGATGCCCAGCGACGATGAGGCGAGGTGGCCGTTTTTGACGAGAGAAGGCCAAAACGCGGCGATGACGACCCTGTTTCTTCACGCACAAAACAGTAAAAACGAGATTATTCATTGAGCGGCTGGCCGCGCGTCTTCTAGAGTTGGGGCGGCCGTCTGCGCGAGTCGCCATTCATCGTGTATGCGGTCCTTCCGGGCGATTATTGCCCATGCGAGGCCAGACACCGACCTCCACTCTTCCGAGCCCCTGAGCATGTATGAGACCAGCTCTGGACACGAAGCGCCTTCCGCAAAGTTGGCCTTTCTCCGGAATTCTTCTCTGATGTCTAGCGTCCCGTTGCAGACCGTGAAGCTGTGTGCGGCGTCATCCTCCTCCCCCGACGGCGCACAGCACGCAAGCCGGCGAGTCCATCTCCCCGATGCGGAACAGGTATTTGGCGAAGGAGCCGTGTCCTGAGAGTAGCTGCGCGAGGGGATACGAGAGGTTGCCGTGCTTCCGGTCGAGCCAAGGGCCCAGATCCGGGATGAGTCGGGACGTCCAGTATCCTGGCTGGCCGGGAGCTATCCCCGACCACCTGAGCTGCCAGGCAGCGATCGCATCTTCCCTCGTGAAAGAGTCGGCGTCGGACCCCTCCCCGTCCCTGTCCTCCCTTGCGAGGATCAGCCGGGCGCGGAGATCGAGCGGAAGGGTGCCCGCGATTACCTGCGCTGCGACCGTGGAGGTTGTGCGGTTCACCCGAGAAACCCGGATGGACATGGGTCGTTGGGCTCTGTCGAGCATTCTTCCAACAGTCTTCTTGCGGATAGTCTCCGCCCAGACAGGGGCGGCGTAGAGCACTATGCTGTCCGCGGCGGAGGCGAGCACCCTACGGCGGTGGTCCCCGACCCCCCGGCACCTAGGAAGGAGCCGTGCGATGGCGTTCGCCGCCTTGAGGGCCTTCTGCGAGGCGTATCGAACATGCGGGGTCCCCGTGAGGCCCTGATCCAACATGAGGCCAAGGTATTTAACGGTTCGCTGGAAGGAGATCTCGTGGCCGTCTATCTCCAAG